GGAAATTGGTTTGGGAGTTGGGCTGGGCTTTAAAGGCCCACATGTACTTATAATTGACCGATTGATTCTTCTCGTTGTCTCTGAGTCATCCCCTCTTCCTTGCTCAAGTCACTTTTGCGTCTCTCTACTCGCTCCTTCTCTCCGAGTCATGGTCATGGATTTCGATTTCAGCAAGTACAATCTCAGGTGCGAGCTTCGTGGTCACGATGGCGACGTAAGATCCGTTTCCTCCCTTACTGTATTTTCTCGCTTTTGTTGATCGACGATTCTTTTTCCAGATTTCGAAACTTTGAAGTGTGTTTTTCATTTCCGTGATTCCCACTTCTTTCGCCTGTCGTTTACAATCACCTGGATGAGATTTCGCACTCGGTTTTTGCTTCAATTTGTTTGATGTGCAGATTTGATCATTAGCGTGAGGTTTTGTTTCGATTAGCTTTATTTCTCAGCTGGAAGTTTCAGGGATATGTAACTGTATTTTCTCGCTTTTGTTGATCGACGATTCTTTTTCCAGATTTCGAAACTTTGAAGTGTGTTTTTCATTTCCGTGATTTCCACTTCTTTCGTCCGTCGTTTACAATCACCTGGATGCGATTTCGCACTCGGTTTTTGCTTCAATTTGATGTGCAGATTTGATCATTAGCGTGAGGTTTTGTTTCGATATGTAGATTTGATCATTAGCGTGAGGTTTTGTTTCAATATGTTTGATGTGGAGATTTGATCATTAGCGTGAGGTTTTGTTTCGATATGTAGATGTTGGATCCTGAAATTGAGATTTGTTTCTTAAGGGTTTGATGTTTAACTTTGCGAGCCAATAATGCATATTAGTTGAAACTTTAAGGGCTTATTTAACTATGTTGATACTTGTTAGTATTGATCATTAACTGTACCTTATGCGATTGAGCTAATGCAAGTGGGTAATTGTGACACTGGAAACTCATTGGTTGTTGTCAAACATGTTCAGGTTCGTGGAATATGTGTGTGCAATGATGAGACTATAGCTACTTCATCGAGAGACAGAACCATTAGGGTCTGGTCAGTCGATCCATTTGATGAGCGCGTGTATACCTCCTCTAAAACTCTGTTGGGTCATACAAACCTCGTTGGACCGCTTGCATGTTTTCCACCGAATGAGGAATACCCTCAAGGCAGACTCGTCTCTGGGAGCATGGATACTTCCATTTTTGTATGGAACCTCGTCAATGGAGAGAATATTCAGACATTGAAAGGTCATGCTATGGAGGTCACTGGTGTTACTGTCGATAATGAGGACATAGTGTCAGCTTCAGTTGATCAGTAAGTCTTCCTTCTGTTCATGTAGTTGAAACTTACAAACTGTATAGTCAATAACGTTACTTGATTAAAATCCAGTGAGTGTATTAGTCTGTGGTTTTCCTTTGCTGTTCCCTAGTAAATGTTTCCATATGGGATACTGTATTTTTCTTAACTGTAGTTCTAAGCTTGTTTAACTGATGTTGTGTAGTGTGACATAAGTTTCCTTTTGATTTTTTTCTTGAAGAACTCTAAAACGATGGAGAGAGGGCAAGCTTGTTGAATGTTGGAAGACACACCGGTCGCCTGTCCAGACAGTGTTAAAGCTACCATCTGGTGAGCTTGTATCAGGTACGTCATCCAAGTAAATCTCTAATTTAATGCATCAAATTAGAACAAAAAAAACAACGCAGCTAACTAATTACTTATCCTTCTACAGGATCATGTGACATGAGTCTCAAACTCTGGAATGGAGAGAAAGTTCTCCGAACTTTTACAGGGCATACCGGTGACTCTCTTACTTATGTGAGAAGTTGCATGTCTAAAATAAAATAGAATCTGATTACATTTATTTGTGACTGCAGGTACTGTTAGAGGGTTAGCCGTGTTCCCTGAAAACCAAATTCTTTCAGCATCACATGATGGGTAATTTTCTCTACTCCAGCAACCTATTGCCTTCATACCATTTTGCAAGTGAATCCACAACCTCATCCATTGCCTTTCATTAAACCTCTCTTTTATTTTCTCTAAACCTCTTTTTTATCTTATCTACACAGTTTACTTAGGTTATGGAATCATCAAGGAGAAGTTTGTTTGGTGATGCGGGGACACACCTCCCGTGTTTACTCAGTGGATGCACGTGCCTCTGGCCACATTGTTAGTGGGAGTGAAGATCGACTCGCGAAGATCTGGAAAGGTGATGTTTCTTGCATGAGATTTTTGTTGAAGTTGTGTTATCAATTTTTGCTCTGCGATAGATGTTTAACTGATATCTCTTGCGAAAATAACATTTTTGGTTTTAAGCATGTGTATTTCTTATAGGCTGATCTGTTGTTCTTGGTACAGATGGAGCATGCTTACAGAGTTTGGAGCACCCAGGCTTTGTCTGGGATGCCAAGTTCCTGGAGAGCGGGGACATTGTTACGGCTTGTTCAGATGGAGTGGTCCGTATCTGGACAGCCCGTGATGGCATGATTGCAGATCAGAGCGAGATTGATGCCTTTTATGGCAAAATTTCTCAGCACAGGTAAGGGAGATGGATGCCTTTTATGACGAAATTTCTCAGCACGAGTAATCTGATCACTTATATTATGATCAAAAGGGAACTACAAAGTATATGTTTGGGGTTCTTTGTCTCAGGATAACCCTTTGGGGGATGAATCTTGACGAGCTTCCGGAGGTCGATTCTCTCTCATTGCCATGTACGAATAACCAAATATGAGAACACTTAGAGATTACTTCCCACTATATTGTCTGATTCTGGTTGTATTTGTTTCAGGTTTAGCGGATGGCGAGGAAAAAACCATTAAGGAAGGAAACAACGGCGTAACCTATGCATGGAGTATGTTAAAACAGAGATGGGGAAAAAAGGTATGAGGATATTAAAACATAAATGGGGTGGGTTGGGGGGGGGAAGGTTGATCTAATCTAACAATGCGCGTGCCTTTTGTACAGTTTCGCACGGCTGATCTTGATGCAGCAGACTTGGAGCCTATTGTGGAAGTTTCTCCTGCCGAAATCGACGCTAAGGTGGACTCTATGCTTGCGATTTGCGGAGAGTATCTCCAATTGGTGCAGCAAGAGAAAACGTTGCCACCGGAGATTCAACTAACTGAGGTTGAAAAGGCGTGTAATGAGAGTAAGTTGTTGTCACTTATTTTATAAAATATACTTTCTTTGGTTTATGTTACAAACTCTTAATATTGCATTTTTGGGTTGTTGCAGAAAAACAGAGGTTGAGAAGGGAGATTGCGACTGTCCTTTTTGCTGGTAAGGATCAAAACAGAAATGAAGAGAAAACACCTCTCAGATGGTCAAAGTCTATGGAGATAGACTTGGAGGATGTCGTTATATCATTGGCCAAAAAGGATAAGAAACCGTTTCAGATTCAGAACATGCTTAAGAAGGTTGATCTAATCTAACAATGCGCGTGCCTTTTGTACAGTTTCGCACGGCTGATCTTCCACAATAGGCTCCAAGTCTGCTGCATCAAGATCAGCCGTGCGAAACTGTACAAAAGGCACGCGCATTGTTAGATTAGATCAACCTTCTTAAGCATGTTCTGAATCTGAAACGGTTTCCTATCTTTTTTGGCCAATGATATAACATCCTCCAAGTCTATCTCCATAGACTTTGACCATCTGAGAGGTGTTTTCTCTTCATTTCCGTTTTGATCCTTACCAGCAAAAAGGACAGCCGCAATCTCCCTTCTCAACCTCTGTTTTTCTGCAACAAACCAAAAATGCAATATTAAGAGTTCGTAAAATAAACCAAAGAAAGTATATTTTATAAAATAAGTGACAACAACTTACTCTCATTACACGCCTTTTCAACCTCAGTTAGTTGAATCTCCGGTGGCAACGTTTTCTCTTGCTGCACCAATTGGAGATACTCTCCGCAAATTGCAAGCATAGAGTCCACCTTAGCGTCGATTGTCTCTTTCTCTGTTTCCGTATTGGTTCTGTCTCCTGTCTGAATGTAGATGGGTTGGCTTTACTTTCCCTTCTCAAGCACTCTGACAAAGTACCACCTCAAGTAACTTCGACGTGGAAGAAGAACACATCTGAAACACACCTTGTGATAGTAATTGGTTTGGTGTCATTTGTGATGATTCTGGTAATCTGTGCTTCCGGGGTTTCAAGACAATTTAAGTTCTGAAATCGGGAGAGTTTGGTGACTCTCGATCTGAGTGTTAGTAAATTTTCTGGTGGATTACCTTTTAGTTTAGGTACTTCTAGTTCACTTTGTCTAAAAATGGGTTTTCCGGAGGAGAGATTCCAGATAGTTTTGGTATGTTGTAGTAGATGCCTGAATCTTTGTTTCAGCTTCCTTTGTTGCAAGCTCTGAATCTTCAACGCAATAATCTTAGTGGTCCTATTCATGCAAGTGTTGGTGGATTAAAGGAGCCTGAAGATCTAGCTTTGTCTTATAATGAGTTATCTGGTAACATTATTGGGAACTGCAGTAAGCTCGTATATCTGTGTTTACACAAGAACGAGTTAAATGATTCTTTGCCGGAAAGTCTCAATCTACTCAGAGAATTTTGGCTAACTGTTTGTCAATAACAACAGCCTTGTAGGGAGGCTTCATCTCGGTTCTAGCAATTGCAAGAAGCTGATGACTTTAGATCTGTCTTTCAATGATTTCAAAGGCGGTGTTCCGCCTGAAATCGGCAACTACAGTAGCCTTCAGTCTTTAGCCAGGGAAAACTGCAACTTGACTGGTACAATCCCATCCTGCTTGGGTCTGTTAAAAAGGATCTGCATCTTGACTTGCCGTTAATCATCTCTCTGGTAACATACCTCAAGAGCTAAGGAACTGCAGCAGCTTGGTGATACCTTGAAGTTGAACAACAACCAGCTCCAAGGCAAGATACCTCATGCATTGTGTAAGCTAAAGAAGCTACAAAGCCTGGAACTTTTTCGTGAATTAGCTCTCCAGTGAGATTCCTATTGGCATATGGAAGATTCAAACTCTGACACATATGCTCGTTTATAACAACACTCTCACCGAGGAACTACCAGTTGAAGTAACAGAGTTGAAGAACCTTAAGGAGCTTACGCTGTTTAACAACAACTTTTATGGAGAGATACCAATGAGTCTAGGCGTGAATCAAAGTTTAGAGAAGATGGACCTTATTCGTAACTGTTTTACAGGGGAGGTACCACCCAATCTCTGCAATGGACACTGAAAGTTTTCAACTTGGGTTCTAATCAGCTTCATGGTCAGATTCCAGCGTCTATACGTCAATGTAAGACCCTCGAGGGAGTCAGACTTGAAGAAAACATGCTTTAAGGTGTTCTTCCAGAATTTCCTGAGAGTCATCATAGTCTTTCCTATGTGAGCCTCCACAGCAAAAACTTTGAAGGACCCATTCCGCGCAGCTTGGGAAGCTGTAAGAATCTTCTGACCATCGATCCTGAAGAGGTAGGAAATCTTCAAAACCGCGGAGAGTTGTATCTTTCGAATAGTCATCTGGAAGGTCCTCTGCCATCGCAGCTTTCAGGCTGTGTGAGAATTCTGAAATTTGATGTTGGATCCAAATCATTGAATGGTTCTGTTCCATCGAGCTTCAGAAGCTGGAAGAGCTTGTCAACTTTAGTTCTCAGCGATAATCAGTTTTCAGAAGCCATTCCACCATTCTTGGCAGAGCATGACCGCCTCTCAGACCTGCGGATAGCTCGAAATGCTTTTGGAGGTGAGATTCCTTCCTCTGTTGGCTTGTTAAAGAGTCTGCATTATGGCTTAGACCTAAGTGGAAATGGATTCACGGGTGAGATTCCAGTCACACTGGTGAATCTTATCAATCTTGATCGGCTCAACATATCCAACAACAAGTTGACAGGTTCTTTACTGGTTCCTCAACGTTTTAGGTCCTTACTTCAGGTTGACGTCTTGAATAACCAGCTCACATGGCCAATACCAGAAAAGCTGATATCAGATATGTCGATGTTTTCGGGGAATCCAGACCTCTGCATTCAAGCTTCTTCTTCAGTAAGTGTCATAACCCGTGACGAATTTAAATCTTGCAAAGGTCAAACCAAACTTAGCACCTGGAAGATTACCCTTTAGCAGCTGGGTCCTCTCTATTCGTATTTGCTTTGCTTTTTGCTCTGGTTTTGGTTTTCCTCCGCCACAAGAGAGGAGCCAAGACAGAAGATGCTCATGTCCTCAACGAAGAAGAAGGTCTGTCCTTGTTGCTGAATAGAGTTCTTGCAGCCACTGAGAATCTAGATGACAAGAACATCATTGGAAGAGGAGCTGATGGAGTTGTTTACAGAGCCACTTTAGGGCCAGGCGAAGAATACGCCGTGAAAAAGCTCATCTTTGCGGAACACGTACGCGCAAACCAAAATATGAAGAGAGAGATTGAGACAATTGGGCTGGTCAGGCACAGAAATCTCATTCGATTAGAAAGATTTTAGATGAGGAAAGAAGATGGCTTAATGCTATACTAGTACATGCCCAGTGGAAGCTTTTATACGACGTTCGGCACAGAGGTATTCCAGGAGAAACCGTTATTGAATGGTCTGCACGGTTCAACATAGCCCTCACGATCGGATATGGGCTGGCGTAGCTACATCATGATTGTCATCCACCGATTATTCACCGTAACATCAAACCAGAGAACATACTCATGGACTCAGATATGGAGCCTCACATTGGAGATTTCGGATTGACTCGGATTCTAGAGGACTCAACAGTTTTATTGGCCACCATTACATGCATTACTGCGTACATCGCACCAGCTAGACTTCTCAATATAACTCTTTCATATTTTGTTTACCGTTTGGCTTATTTAGTCTCTGAACTCTTTGCTATTAAGCAGAAAATGCTTACAAGACAGTGAGGAGCAAGGACCAGGTGTTTACAGTTACGGAGTTGTTTTACTCGAGCTGGTGACAAGAAAGAGAGCAGTGGACAGATCTTCCAGGAGGAGACTGATATCATGAGCTGGGTCAGATATGTATTAAGCAGCTACGAGGATGATGATACTGCTGGTCCAATTGTTGATCCAACGCTCGTAGATACAAAGCTAAGGGAACAAGCAATCCAAGTTACAGACTTGGCACTTAGGTGTACGGACAAGAGGCCAGAGAATAGACCTTCCATGAGAAATGTGGTGAAAGAATTGACTGATGTGAAAGAGCTAGTAAGAAAGACGTCTGTTTCGGTTCAGTAGTTTCAGATTTTACAGGTTTTATAGTAGCAAGAGTGTGGAGTGTTTGACATTTTTTTTTTTTTTTTACTATATTTTACAACCACTAATATAAATGTAACTACCTTTGAGGTAATCTTGAAGATTTGAGAAACATATATATCAAAGGAGGCCTTATTTTATTGCATAACCCGAAGTTGTTGGGAGAAATAAATTACAAGATCAAGGGAGGCTTATACGAATTTGCCTATGTCAGAAATGTTTTAGCCAGTGCTACCAGATAGCTCACCGGAGAATGCACTACCATGTGATGTGGAACCGGTAGGTGTCTGTGATGATGTTAAGATCCCTCGAGCTTTACGCATTTGCCTTAGTCTGAAAACATCTGTCGGTAGAGGCTGGCTCTGTATGGTTGCAGTATCATCTTCTTCTTGTCCTGTTAAGAGAGAGGTAGAGATAGAATTAAGAGATACTTCCATGAACCATGCATAAATTTATATATACTTGAACATAAACCATAAATCTTTTCTCTTTGTAGCTCTCAAGTCCCTTGATACTCTTCTTGAGACCCACCGTGGGTTGAACCTGAGGGATCGTTTTGACCTGGAGCAATTGCTTTTAGCAACGAAACTCTGCTTAACAGTTTGAGCTGTTGGTAAGTCACTCTGCAAACATTGACAGAACAACATCCACATTGGGTGTTGGACCTGAAGCAGTTGAAAGGATAGTGACAAACTAGTCAGTTAGTGAACACTTATTCAGGTGCTCGGTTCAAATACATACAACTTGGAGTTGGTTAAAAGGGATTTACCGTAAAAAATCGGCAAGCTGGCTAAAAACGCTAACAATGCAGGTGGTGTAATCTTTGGTATTTCATCAAATTTGCTGTGGCTGATCCTTGAGTTGCAGTTGCAGTCACATTACTTGGGAAGGTGTTCAAAGCAGAAGCTGCCACTGGGTTTGCAGAACTAGCAAACTCTACGGTCAAATAGTTAAGGGTTCAGAGTTAGTTCACAGTTCCATTCTTGAGCAGCCAAATGATGCTGCGAAGTGCAGATCAAATAGTAGATTGCTTTGTCGGGTCATAAACGACCCATAAACGATCATAAACTTTTGAGGAAGAGGCTAAACTACCTGTCAGACCAAAAGGCAGTTTATTTGCTTCAGTCAACATCAAAGTTCAACATTATAGATTCACACCAGAAAACTAAAAAAATAGACCTACAGCTCCAGATCCATGAGGTAGAATTGTCTTCTCTACTTTCTTATTCATATTCTTCACAAGCAACTATAGTGAACACATCGGTTCGTTAGTATTAGTACTCACTAGGTGCATCATTGGTAGCTATTCTGGTGAAAAGCGATAGACTGCTTGGGACATACCTCTTGTCTGACTAAATGATCAAGCTCTTTAGAAGTGCAGGGCCAAAGATCAATGTAACTACCGAGAAACAACATCTTGAAGTGAACTCTCTAGAACAAGAGATCCCTCTTGCCCTTTTCCGGAAAGTGCTTCTTTCTTTCTCTGCTCAACCTACAACAAGGTTAACATAGTAAAGAAATATCTCAAAAGCAAATACTATAAAGATAAGATGATATCTCCATCAAACAACCACAGTTGATAATGAGCATGTCGTAGATCTGTTCACATAGTTCAGCGAAGAGTTATCAAATGTCTCTATTACGAGAAGCAAAACTGTCCTAGTTTGTTTTAGCAATAACAAAAGTGTTGGCATTTTCAAGGATCTTCCAAGCCAGCTAAACGGAATAGACCAATATATTGGGAGACTAAAGCATAAATCCAATGTATTGGGATTCTAGAAACTTATCACCATAACAGAGTCAACCGGAGAAAAACTACACCAGATTCCAAATCAAAGAAGTGTTACAGCAATCTAGTAGGCCTGCAATCTAGCAAACTTGCCACAAGGTTCCAAGCTTGAAAAACTCTCAATTTCTCACAGAAATCAAAACATTGAAATCAAACAAATCAAAAGCTGACCGCCCCCACCTACTCCGCTTTTTCGACCATCTTTTTTTTTCTTTCTCTCCCTTTGTTTTGTTTTTTTACAAATATAATATTGGGAAAATTAAAAAATGCTATAAATTTCAAAAAAACTTTCTAGAAATATCATAATCTGAATACTTTTTCGAAAAATACTACAAAACACTAACACTTTTACCCTTGACATTAAATACATCAAATGGTGATATATTATGGTAGATTTAATTGGTAGACGAGAATATCTTTAATTGGTGGACGAGAATAACGGATAAAGTCAGAGAATTTGGTGGACAATGACAACTGTTGAAACATTAAGAGTTTAGAATTTTGGTGGGCAAAAATATCATAAAACTTTCAGAATCTGATTTGGTCTCTACCTATTACTTATCCTCCATGTGAGCGAAATTAGGTAATCTTTATGTCCACTTCATAAATAACTGAAGATATCATCATCCAAATATGTGTGTAGTCCAAAACTACGACTGAATGGAAAATTCGAACATGTGTTATTGTGGACAATATACGAGTAGTCTGAAGACTCGACCGGTAGACAACTCAACCCTGTGTTACCTATGACAATAAGTTATCCAGTAAAATTGAGAGAGAGAGAGTGAGAGAGAGAGATTGTGTTAAAGAGAGAAATATAAAGAGATATATTGTTGAAAGAGATAGAATTTGTAGACAAAAAAAAGTAAGAAAGAGAGAAAGTGTGTTAGAGAAAGAAGAAAAGTGAATATATAATTTTTGGATTCCAATGACATTTTTGTCTTATCATGTGCATGTTGTGGCATTTTGAGAAAGAAAAATGCTATTGTGGCATTTCTGGAAAGTTTTTTGAAATTTATGGTATTTCTCATAATTTTCCCTATAATATTTGTTTTTTTAGCAAAATACGATTTTTTTTCTCCTTTACACATTAAATATATTGTTTCTCTTATGAACGCAATATGATATTATGTTACTCTTTTTTTTTTTTTTTTGTCAAACAAGCGTATTTCATTCATTTAACTGGTCAAAATACAAAGAGAGGGAATTAAACATCCTCTGACATCAATACAACATAGTTGAAATGCAATAAAATCCAAAGCAGATAGATCATCGTAGAAGATGGACAACGGATCCCAGACATGTCTCGGATGCGTCAAGAGGGTCTTTCCGGCAAAGCCGGATAGTCTCAGGTTAGTCACTTTCCATTGTGACTTTGAAGGTCCTGGCATAAAGTTCAGGAATTCGACCACTCTCCAGGAGAGGGAAGAAAATCCAACCAATCTCAAAGAGATGGAAGAAGGTGGAATTGAACTCTTCCACCAGAAGTAAATTACTGGATTTGAGACTCCAGAAAACTTTGACCCTCTCATACGTGGAGATATGAGTCCCGACGAGTGATGAAATAAAGTACATTGAGGGCGTATTGGTCTCTCTAGGCTCGATTTGGAGGACAAAATTTTTAACGAGCTCTGTAACATCATGCCTAAATCGACAAGTAAGGCAATATCAAACACATCCCGAAATAAGATCGATGGAGAGTATGAATACAGTTCCGGTAACATTCCTAACAAGGTGTAATACACATCCAAAATTAAGGTTGATGGAGAGTATGAGCACGAATAATACCTAATCCGAAGAGATTGAAGACAAACCCATCCCGGGAGGCAATAGCTTGAAACCGGCAGTAGGGATATAAATTTGACTCTAAAGCTCTTTGGTTTTGTTGGACTTTTACTCTTACTAGGCCTTTGCATTTGTTTGCCCAAATGAGAATGCATTTTTGCAGGCCCAATGAGGCCCATTCGGCTGTAAGCCCAATGAGTATTTTCCAGATCTATCTCGGTCACAAATAGAAGGTATGAATTGTGCACGGCGGCGATGGTAGGTCGGATTCTCGTCAGAGCGTTTGTTGAAGTGGGGGACACCGGACGTTAAGCTCGACAGGAGCTAATCGATGACATTCATATCAATCGACGGGCAGAGCAACGGCGACTCGACGGCCTCAGCCACATCCGAGTACAATCTCTGATTACTCGAAATGGCTAGGTAAGAATGGTTCCAACATCGGCTGCACAACAGATCTTTGCCGAGGAGGAGATGAAAGGAAGCTTTATCTTCTGATATTTTGCCGGAGCCAAGGCTAACGGCAAGACTAAGATTTGAACATATGGATGCGACCAACGGAGGATGGGAGAGGATGGTGGTGGAGGGCCGAGTAGATCCGGTGGAGGATAAACCACAACCCAGAGAGGAGGATCCGACGGGTCTGGTGGATCGGGAGGTTCCGACGGCTGTACTTTTAGCTCTATGGGAATCACCACCGTAGAGGAAGAGAAGCTCCGGTCTGTAGACCGCAGTGTATCAGTCTGGAAAATACATCGTAGTTCAGCCATTCCGATGGAAGAGGAGTAGCAAGTTGACAACCGGAGATTTACCGGTGAAGTTTGTAAAAATTCTTCTCCGGAGGGAAAGAGTTCTTCGAAAACTTTGAGGACCTAAAATGGAAACGTCGACGCTTTGCCGTTCAGATGGAGGAGGATTGTCGCTGAAATCGACGGCTACCTCAAACTCCTGGCCTGGGAGCGCAAGAGATTAGGGCGAACCAACGATTCTCTCTAGCTACACGTATTTCACACCATGTCATATTATGTTACTCTTATTAAAACAAATATTGTCCTCGAAACTCTCATTTGAAAACACAAATCAGTGTCAACTATAAAGCAAATGACACATAAATAATCAATGTATTTGAAAATCTCATTTTAACATTTATTTACAAGGTATGAAAATTGCATCTAAATATACATAGTTTATTTGACGGCGTGAATATAGACTAAAAAAAAATACATTGGTCACTCTCATTAAGCAGTCAATAAGAAATTGTTAGAACATGTTTACTCATGAACCAAGATGAGTATCATTAACATTTTTTTAAT